GCGTATTTATTTTTAAAATTTCTATTTAGAAAGTTAGTTTAACTGAATAAAGTGAATTTTCACGGATTACATAGAATACGTCAAACACTTATTTTCAACATATTGATATCGAAGCGAAATTGTTAGTAATGTTTACATTGAAATATAATAAGAGTATAAAATCTTTTACATTGGTGATATCACTATACTGGAAACAATAAACACATGAATGTCTCAAAGTAAAAATGTTTTTATCATATCTGAAAATCTAAAGTATTCTAAATCATAAATTCGTAAATAATACTTTTTGGATGTATCAGAATAATGTTTTATCTAAAATGTAATGATAATTATTTATGAATGAGTTGACAACCCGTGAAATAAAATTAATTGATTTATGATTTATTGTGGTCAAAGTGGTTAACTTATGCAGACAGTTAATTAAATCGATTCAAAATATTATTATTAGGGGTACCCTTATACTATAGATTATATATAGTTCTAACTCTATTTTGAAATTATGATAGTCAAAATTTATTTTTTATGAGAATTACATTTGTACTTATTGCCATTTACCATTTGAGCAAACATTTTAGACTTTTAAACTTTTGATTTTTTATTTATTTTTAAGATGTTAAATAATAAAATACGCTATTATTTAAATAGGTTATAATTATTGAACGTCTGTTTTTTTTTTTTTTTATATATATATATATATTTTATTGTATATTGTTTCACAATTTCAAACTATTTTTCAGTACCGTTAATTTTGCATAATTTCTCATTGTAATTCAGTGATGCATAAATATGTATGTACATATTATATTTGTATTTGTATTACTCTTATTTTTGTATAATTTAATTCATTACATTTTTTTAATTTAAATCTTATATATTTTTGTCATAAATTAAGATTTAACATTCATTTTTAAGATATATATGTGCGTAGTTTTATTTTTTATACAATAAATATTTTTTTAAAACTTACTCAGGCTTGGTGTGTTAAAATTAAGAAAATTGTGTAAAATATAAAATATATTTTATGTATATTTTCTTTCAATCGAAAACATTCATTTGAAACTATTATTTCCATGATATTACCATAAAATAGTGAATTATATATTGATATTATTAGTATTCAATGATAGCTTAAAAAGTTCATTATTTTAGTCCCGATTTTATTTATACTTTGAATTGTAAATAAAAATGTTATTTTTGAAATTTTGACATACGAACTATTAATTATTTAATAATTATTCCATAGTTAATGTTGATACTAGATAGAACATATGAAATTTGAAAGCAATAAAAGACCAATATATATACCTGATTTTAAATTAAATCTAACTTTAATCTGGAAATGTTTGACTATTATTGAATAAAAACTGGAGTCAAATAAGTTCTACCCACATAACATAGGAAATTAACTCAATAATGGAGGATGTTCTTATTAAAGTGTACTTGCTGTTTATTGTATAGTATACAATCGACAATAAAAAATTATGTATACAATACAACAAAACGTGATATCATGATAATAATTGAAGGAATAATGTTTTATGATCGATTAATATATAAAACAGTGCTTAATTATTTTGCAGTAAGATTATTTTTATTTGACACTGAATACAATTATAAACTAAAAAAAATGACTTATTATTATATGTGTTTTATGATTTATTAACTCAATATGTTGTTTGATCGGACCCACACAAGTACCAAGTTATTTGTTATGCTTCAGTAGGTATTTTAAATTTTTCATTTGTGAAAAATTTGTATTTTATCATTGTGTACTGTACTAATATAATTTTAAGTGCAAGGAATATATTTTTCATTTCGGTTTGGCTAGACAATGAAAAATTACAGTAATTATTATTTTAACAAATATTGTTGAATATTCTGATATTGATGTGGTTTTTCACTGCTATGATTATAGTGATCAAATGTACAAAAATAGGATTTTTGTAAATTGTGTAAATTGTAAATTATTTTAAAATTTTTATATAAATTGCGACCTGGATATATTTTTGGGTATTTAGGGATACTCGCCTACCAAGATTTCATACTTTTACTGTCAATTTATAATATTAAATATTCAATGTACACTAAAATTTAGTGTATTTTTTGTATATATATATATGTATCATTTATGTCCAATTTTTATTTGTGTTATTGTGTTTATTAAAAGTTATAATAGACTACATTTATTTTTATTTTTGTTGATTTTAAATTTAATATAAATAACCATATTATTATAAAACTTATATCATAAAATATAGAGTATATAATCTTCGTCTATCAAATTTCTGAATCATTTCCATAATGTTACTATTTCTTTTAGTAGTTATTATTAAAAAATTGACATTTAAAACACATATATATTTCTCAAAGATGTTATGAAACTTCTTAAACATCTAATATATTCTATTGAATATTAGATTTTTCAAAGATTATCGTTTTTAATCGCATCGATGTTTCATTAGGCATTGTGAAATTTTAGGTCAATCTAGTACGATCATGATATGTTCTTCCTATAGTTATACATTCACAAACAATGGGATTCATTAGAATATTAATAGAAATTATTTGTTTAGTACGTGAAGTTTTTATCGGATACTACGGAAGTGAAATTTTTAATTTATGAACAGTTTCATTAAACCGTTTTAATGAAAATTAAAGCACTAGCTTTTCTGATTTTGATTTAGATTATATTTTGAAATGTATAAACGTATATTTCACTATATTTTTTTTATTATAATGTAGCTAAGTTGTTAGATTGTTATCATTATAATATACCGTTAGACTATTATTTTAGCTATAAAATGAAAATAGACAATAGCCACATTTTTTTCATGTGGTTGTAATTAAATCATTTTATTAAATTGCTATATTATAAACTAAATTATTGTTAATGTTTACCAGTTAAGAACAGTAAATATATTTATTTCAATAAAATATTGATTAGGTGTTTGCTTCACAAACAATAAAATGTAAAAAAAAAACATCTCAGGCATATTTTTTTTGTAGTCGTGTGCATAAATGATTTCCTTTGTATAAATTCATATATAAATTATTTTAGTTTAGAATAATTTATAGTAAGTAATAAATATTTGTAAGTACTCGTATTTTATCTGAAAAAAAAAAGTTTTTTTTTTAAAAGTATTTTAACTTCTGAAGTTTTATATTATTTTATTATTGAATATTCTTAGTCGTAGGTTTTTAATTCTACGTCATGCCTTATTGTTGATAAGTCGTGAGCATATCAATGAATAGAGATTAAAATTGATGATAATAATATAAATAATTACCATTCGCATGAAAGTCGCATAAGAAATTAGGTTACAAAAGCCTTCTTTAATTATATTTTGATTTATTTTTATTTTTTTTATTTGTATTTATAAACTAAAAATTTTTATGATTACATCATTTAAAATATAAATGTTTTCATTATCCCGAAATACTATTATTTGTTTTGAATGTACTACGTTATACTTCTTTAAATACCGTTTTTATAATAACTCGTGGCTAAAAATTTTTTTAGAATAAAACGTCTTGCATTTACAATATATTATTTTGTGTAATTCGTTTTACTTTCCAAAACATTTTGTTTGTTTGATCGTCATAAAATTCATGTTCCTTTTATTTACTCTGTACTCATAAATCTTCTTAAAAACATGTCATTGTATTTAAGATAATACATTAATCAACTCGTGCATAGTATAGGTACAGGCATATAACTTGATCATGTGTGGTGTGAATGTGTGACGTAACTGTTAGTAATTACCTGCAGCATAATATCTTTATAGATTTTCGTTTAAGATTCTCGTCGTTCAAGAAATATATTACGATTGGGGGGTATTTTTTGAATGTAGATTTGTTTCCTCGACGATATTTTGAAAAGAGTGAAAATGTTGGCTACAGTAAAACAATACATCTACAACAAGATGTACTAATTGCGAGAGTATAATATACTCATAAGTCATTACCTAGGTCATAACAGTCATAATAATAATTTTCAGTCGGTGCGCGAGAGGTGTATAATATACCTCGTAAGTGGTATGTTGAAGAGTGCAGAAACTGTACTTATAATTGTACATCAATAATGCGATTTCGTATACTGTATTTAATTATGTTATGTTGTATGATATTCATTCTAATAATGGTATGGTGCTTGATACTTATCTCCCCTTCTTATTTATAGTATATTCGAAATGTGTAAATGTTTTAAAATGATTACACGATCGCGATCATTCATATGTCTCAGCTGTATGAGAACTATTTTCAATTGGTCATATGGACGTTAACGTACTTTTATAATTTTATATGTTATATATTTATAGCACAGCCGATCAACTATGATTACCACCGTTTGAATTAAAAAAAAAGGATATGGCTGTATGCCACCTATAATTATTTATCATATAAATATGGTAAACCTAACCTCGTAAATTATAAGAACTAAATTCTTACCTTTGGAATAATCTACGTAAATTCCTTTCCGTTTAACTATAAGTATTAAAAATATATAATATATACGTTTTTTGTTATAAAAATATAATTTTAACTAGTTATTTAATTATTTTATTATTATTACTAATTAATTATGTTCATAAAATGTTAAGCTGATTTTTAATTTTTCTCATAATATAATTTTTATATTTATTTAGTTAGTATTAGTCGAATGACAGTCACAGATAGAACACATTCATTAATTCATTTTTTAAAAAAGAAAAATGCATAAATATTAAAACAGGAAAATACCATTTCGTACTAAAATATACTATAAAAAATGTCCACTGTAAAAATTATATAATAAATTGATTTTATTTTGGACTATCACTTGATGGAAATATATTATCATTAATTAAATATATATTTAGTATATTTAATCAATGTTATTATGATTACTATTAAATTAGTAGTCACAATTCAATTATACTATATGTTTGATGTATGCTAAATGTAATTTTTTTTTTAATATTTTATTTTATCAAATGTAATGTTTTGTTTATTTTTTGTAGACGTATAAGCTGATCACTTGGACCAATACCATAATATGAATTAAAGAAACTTTATCAAATTGACAATCATGTCACACTATAATAATTTGTTTTTTTATGCTACGGCGTTGGTACTTGCCCATTTGTGTACAGTTGATTCGATAACTGAGCTCAAAGGATCTAATGTTTGTACCAGAATAGAGTCGTAAGTAATTTTTAATTAAAATTGTAGCATTAGTTTATGTATATTATTAGTTCATAGTGCTTGAAAATTGACTTTATTCATTATATTTCTAATAAATTAAAGAATTAGAAAAAATAGATTTATTTTGAAAACCAAAATGTAATAGTTTTTACGAATCGCTGGTTCGCAGCTGTAAGGTTATAAATTATTGTTTTGTATATCTTAGTTATATTATTGTCTTATACATACTCGTTTGAGGTCGATTTGGTTAGTAATTTTGTTTTTTTAAATAAATTATATCTCCAAATGCAATTATGAATTATATTATGAATAATAAATATTAGTACAAATTGGTCGTAGCAAGAATGAAGCGATAGAGAAATTTTTCTCAGTTGCCAATGCAATGGGGGTTCTAAACCTCGACAATTTTTTTACGTCAAATTGGACATTTAATTAATGTGTAAATTAATACTAAATACCTTTTATTGATAATTAAAAAAAAATAATAATTACAAATTAAATTATGTCAATATTCTTAAAAATAAAAATTCTCATATTTTTAAGTGTGCCAACTATAGGTCGAAGTTAATACTAGACTAGGACAAATACCCCAGTTGTTACTCCCACCCAAATTACGCAACTAGTTTAATTGTATAGTACGGTAAAACACCTTTATTCCGGACCCCGTTTAAGCGGAGTCTTCCATTAAATAAAATAAATATTATTGTTTTTAATAATTTTTATGAAATAACTTAAAAACACATATTATATGATCATAATGTGTATTTTTGTTACAAGATATACATTTATAATCCAGTTTCAACTCTAATAAGTGGCCTTTTAAAATAGCCTGACCTACAGTTTTCTAATTCTGGATCAGCCCCTGCATTTTACCACTTGTATTTTATAACATGTTTGTATCTAATCACTCTTAATACATCAGTTGCTGATTATACAGATAATGAAGTAGTTATTTTCATTAACCATAGTTTTCTTTTTACTTCAAAAAATTTACAAAATTACGAAATTTATTATATTATTTTGATTACAAATTAAATCTGTACATGCCACTTTTACTCTCAAGCAGACCTCATATCCTAACGTTCCATTTTATGGTGTTCACAAATCCATATCTTCCACAGTTAAATATCTTGATCTTACACTTGATCAAAGATTAACTTGAACACATCATAATTAAAAAACTAGCCCTAAATAATCACTTACATATGCTCAAAATCCTAATTTATATTAATAATTATATGATTAAAATTAATACGTACATATGATCTTTAGTTGTGGTAATGCAAATATTTCGAATTTAAATCAAATTCAAACTTTCCAAAACATTTCCTTCAGAAACTAATAAATATTCCTCCCTATAAATTAAAATATACATATTCAGATCTAAAACTACAAACAATAAAAATTAAAGCAAAGTCTTCTATAAAATATTTCATAACCAACTTGGTACTTACAAATATCTTCTCATTTAAAGTATGGTCTGTGTTATACCTGAAAATTCTCCAAGATGCTTGAAGTACATGTAATGTCGATAAATTATTAATATAAGATGAGTGATTATTTTCAACAAAAAAATTTTGTTTTTTTGAGTATTGTTACATTTTGACAATATTCTTATTGTATCAAAGGTACAAATTGTATATTACGTATCATAAATAAAATTAAACTTCAAAAACTGTACATTTATGGTAACAATTTGTCATAAAGTACTATGGATAAAAAACTATGTTCAACATCAATATTGGTACATATTTAATATTGGCTAATATATGTGGTAATTACTCGAGTGAATATTTGTAACAGACAAATCATTGAAACTAATATCTTCGTCTTGGGGTTTTTTTATAATTTCTTTTGAAACCATTAATCTTTTATTTTTACTTGAGACATTTGTACATTTTATTTAAAATATTATACTATTTGAACTAATAATAAGTTAATTTATAAAACTTGTGCACTTTATTTAAAATTTTTATGAGTCTACAAGTGACAAAATAAAAGTTTCAAGCATTTTCCTACTTTTAACAATAAAAAATGTACCCAAATGTTTTTAGTAATGAAATATGCGAAACATACAAAAACGTAAAAAACATGCCCTAAAGTCAGAATGTATGCATTATAAGCTTTTGTTATTTAATCAATTATGTGGTAATGATTCGTAGACTATCAGGGACTGCTTACAAGTCATCTTAAGCAAAATTTTGTTTTAATTTATGTATCAATTTTTTATTTTTTTTATTTAAGTCATCATATATTCATCATATAATCATACCAGCAACAAATACAACATATAGTATACAGTAGTATAAGAATAAAATTATACAATATACAATATCATAATTAAGTATAATAATTATGTTTTTTACTATAATTATTAATGAATAAGTAAAAGTTGCTTATAATATAGAAAAATGTCGTTGTTTATAATATTTAGTATTACCATTATCTTACTATATAACCATTATCTGAGATTATTTATGAGATTATAAATGGATTTAAAAAAAAAATTTCATTTTTTATATTATTTTTTATACTCATTGGTCTATCAGTGTTATTATTTTTTAAAATTATATTGGTACATTAATTAGTTTATGTATAATTATTTATTAATTTAATTAAATTTGAGTATTTTCGTGAAAAATGGTAGAGAACCATAGTTTTATTGAACATCAAATATCTGTTGAAAATAAATATGTTGTTAGTAAAAAATTTGTATTTTTTTAAATTTAAATAACTTCACTATTTATTTAATTAAAATTATATTTAATATATCACAGTTATTTTCAGTTAACCGATTGATGATAACTTATTTTTTAAATTTTTTTTATTTTAATGAAATATTTCTGTCAAACATTCATCGATTTTAAATGGAAATCGCTAGACCATAGTTTCCAAGGTTGTGTGTGTCATATGTTATGTGAGTTACATTATTGTTATTAAAATATTTTTGGTACAATAATATTTTTTTTAACAATTAAATATTTTTTTGTTCAATTATAATTTCTATTATTGAAATAATACATGGCATGTTTGAAATACTAATAACAATATAAACTAGGTATATGTGACAAGTTCCCATAAGGATAACAAAAACATTCTTATACGGGAAAAAATGATGAAACTTGAGAAATTTTTAATTAGGACATTAGGTAACAACGGGGGTAACAATGACTAAAAATGCATAAGCACAAATACAGTTTATCTCATAAGCTATTTTTTTTTTCAATTTGTGTATTTTTGTATGTATAGTAAGATTATACTTTAAAAAAAAGTCGATTGAACTCCCTTTAGAACCAAGTTATGATCAAAAATCTTTAAAATGCTCTAAAATTATTGAATATTTTTTTAATTTTTTTTTTTTTTTTATTTGAACTTTTCTATGCTCGACATTTTGGTAAAATCAAAAATTTCCTATCATACTTATTAGATATAGTATTATTTGTATTTATTACATAACGAGTTGATAAAATACAATAACAACGATAATTTAACAATGTACTTATAGTCATTAATAGTCGTAATAAAATCGTACGATAAAAGTCACTATTTGTATTTATTATTAGTATAAGTTTATAAGACGATATGGTTTTGTCCAAATGAGGTTATTCATAACTAGGTTTACCCGAGAAAAAAACAAAATATAACATTTTGCAACATTTTGTAACATGAATATATGTACAATTGACAATCATCAAACTGAAATGTTCCCACGTTGCACAGCAAGTAGATTTATAGATTAGTTTTAACTATGTATATAATATATATAATTATGTAACTTATATGTTGAACACTCATAATCTGTTTTACCTATTTTACCTGATTTGGAAATATGTTTTTCGATCATAACTTCTAAAAGAAATTTGATCGACTTATTTTGAATGTACCATCAATTGCAAAGACATACATTAAAAAAAAAAAAAAAAAAAAAAAAAAAATGCTAAAAATAACTTGGGAGTTAAACTACATTTGTTTACATGCATTTATACAAAAAGGGCGTGTATGTTTTTTAACTTATACTTATCATAACATAATTTCATCTTTGATAATTTGTGTTTATTTCGATGGTTAAAAGTAATTAAAATGTTTTTTCAATTAAATGTAAATAAAATATTATTTATTGGTATATAATTAATATTTATACATTATACTATCATAAGAAGAAACTCATTTATCCATTTGATTTGCGTTTCAATATTTCTTAATTAACTTTAAAAATAAAATAAGTACGCTGTCTAATATTTTATAAAAAAATAATATGTTTTCATAATTTAATAGACTTAAATACATTTGTTTTCTTAAATATATTTTTGTTTTATAAGAAGGTAAACTATATTTTCATTAATTAAGAAATTGTACGTTTCAGGTACAATGTGACTGTCAATGTGACTGAACTGAAACCATATCAAGAACGAGAGTCATACTTTTGTTTTACAGATTTCAAACTAAAATGTTCCAAATACAGAATTGTAATGAGATCTGTTGTTAAGCAGCAGGTAAGTAAAAATAAACATTTATACAATACATTAAATTTTACATATTATACTTCAAAACTTACATGATATATTTAAAATACATCCATGATAATTTTGCTAGAAATTTCAGATGTAATTGTAATTGTCTATACATTTATATAATAAATATTTTATAAGTATAAGTTGATTCAAAATATTTTCGATTTGCATACAATATAATTTAGTAATCAGTCTTATTTTGAATTTTTACTGCAAATAGCTTTTACGCAGCTTCACACTTTACTCATATGTATGTTAAGGAAAATAATTTATATGATGAATGAGTTAGTGAAAATCATAATTATTTTAGTAGGTATTTTCGACCGGTGGAATTTAAGTTCACTGTACACGGAAATCAGTCACCAGCGATTGAACTCATATGTTCCTTTATTAATAAACAATTTTTTTTCAATGGGTTAATCGTTATAAATTTATAAATTAAAATTGTGTGTGTTGTGTGTTGTGTGTTCAATACTTCCAGTAGTTCTATGTCTATTAGTTTTAGCTATAATATGAGTGATTTTTATATTTATATATTTAAAAAAAAAAAAGTATTAAATTCTGATTCACTTTTGCACATACAAAAAATAACTGTTAAAAGTTTCATAAATGATCAAAAAATATATTTTTTTAGCTTTATTTTGAAAAATTACAATCTGTACATTAATTTTACAATAAGTAATAAAGTTACAGGACAGTTGAAATGAATTTATTCACATAATGAGGAAATCACACATTTGTGATACCTCTAAATATTTTTTGATGCTTTAAGTTATCAAATCGTAGCACCAGTTCCTGTTGAAGCGTCTTGTCGGGTTTCCAGGGAGTGTAATTGATGTTCCTTGATAAAAAGATTTTTTAATTACAATTATAACTATAGCATTATTATATTATCAAATGAATGCTATTAGTGATAACTATCATATTTTACTTTTTTCTTATAGTGGTTTTAAAAATCACTATTTGAAATAAAAATAAACGTCATAGTTTTACTTTAATCTCCTTATTTAATATATATATATAGTGATTTATTACAAGAATTTAACGCAGGTTACAGTGACATAAACATTTGAAATACTACTTAAAAAATATTAAAAAAACGTAAAACATACTGACAAATTTTATTCCAATATCCAAGTAACCAGTAAGCTGCTTTTGTTTATATTTAAAAAATAACGTGTTATAAATTATTTGATTTTGATTCCATACATACATTCTAGAAAAATAAGTAATTTTACCTGTATTATCTGTGTTGTATTGGAGGATTAATATTTCTTTAATATATCCATATAAAAAATGTCAGCGAAACCATAGATGCGTTCTGAAGTACCTAAACCATGTACTTCGAAGTCATGTCATCCAAAAATCCTTCCATTGATATTTTTCTTTACCTTGTGACTTGTAAGATTATAGATATAGTTTCAAAGATTTTAAACCTAACACTGAAAATATTAGAAAATGTATTGAATAAAAGTTCAGTAGGTATGTTTTCTAATTTGCTGAAATTTAATTTCCTATTTCGATAAATTCGATTTAACGACAAGCCGGTACTTTCTTTAACTTATTAAATTAAACATTAGGAGAAAAAATATTTTGTAACATATTTAATAATAAAAAAATAAAATATTGACTTTCTAAATATTTTAAATACTTAAATCTACAACAAATGTTGAAAATACTTACTACGCCATTAAAAACTTATATTATATTAACTAATAACTAATATGAACTATAACTATCCGAATCAAGCAATAATTAATTTACAGGTTTTAGAGAAAAAAAAACCTATTGAAGATTGTTGTGATGGATATGTTAAGTCAGCTAATGGAACGCGTTGTATCCCAGTTTGTAAATTACCTTGTGAACACGGTACTTGCATATCTTCAAACGTTTGTAAATGTGATGAAAACTACGGAGGGCCCTATTGCAATAAAAGTACTCGTAACATTAAATTAAATGTTCTAAAATTATTACTTGAAACTTAACCTTTACAATTTTATTCGATGTAGCATGTCCACCTGGAAAATTTGGTGAATACTGTACTGAGAATTGCCAGTGTGAAAATGGATCACCGTGTGATCCGTATGATGGACGATGTAAATGTTTAGCTGGTTGGATGGGAACTGACTGTTCAGAAAAATGTTCACCTCACAATTTTGGTGTGGACTGTGCAGAGGAATGTCCTTGTAAAAACGGTGCTATTTGTCATCACGTGAATGGAAAATGCGATTGTCCTCCAGGATTTAGGGGTCCACTGTAAGTAAAATATAAATAAATCGAAAATATTCATTCTATTTTAGCTTTTTGTGACGGGTTTACTAAACAATTTAATTACTCTTTTTAGTATTAATATTTATTTTGTTTCAATAACATATTTTCAATTTAGATGTGACCAAATATGTCCGTCCGGTACTCATGGAGATGAGTGTCAAAGCGAATGCAAATGTCAGAATGAAGGTAGTTGTGATCCCCAAACAGGTCAATGTGTATGTTCTTCAGGATGGATGGTATGTACAAATTGTGCAAATTACTTTCTAATATATCGTTTTATTCCTTTGATAGAATTTCCATTGAATATTTATTTTATTATCGTTAAGATTTGTTGATTATCGTTTGTTAAATGCAATCAGACCGGAATAAAATTCATGATTATTTCACTGTGGCAATATTTATATAAATATATATAACATTATTAGTTTTTTGTAATTGTATTTTTATATGCTATACGCTAAATTAAAATATAAGATTGTTCACAAGATTTTTTAAGAAAACAAACGAAAACGAAACTATTTTAAAGTGTGCAAATTAGTATAATTACTGTAAAGTTTTTATTAAATTGAATACTATAGATACTACTTATATTGATATTTTATAATAGAAATATATTTTTTTATTTATGTTTTATTCAATAGAATAATTTTTGTAAAAACTGAAAGCTGGACAAGTAAGTTAATTTATTTTTCAAAACATTTTTCATTACGTTGTTATTTGTTTTAATCAGAAATGTAAAATAGGTTATTAATGGTATTAATTATTTCTAAGTACAATTTTTTAACCATTTATAGGTCGTTATTTAAAACGTTCTTTCAAAAATTAAATTAGAAATATAAAGGACTAATAGAAATGTTCTATTTAATTTTATTTCTATAATTGATCAAAATGGATATTTAATTACAATTAAATAAATGGTCACCTAACTGAATTATATAAGTTATCAAGTTTTTACAATTATTTTATTCTTAGGGATTGGTATGTGGAGAAAAATGTGAACCCGGCAAATGGGGAGTTAACTGCAGTAAATCATGTGACTGTTTCAATGAAGGTAACTGTCATCATATAACTGGAAAATGTCAATGTTTGCCTGGATATTATGGCGAAAAAGTAATTTTATTTTTTCTAATGTTGTATTTCAAACAATAACTTTTATGGTGGTTTTAGTGCAAATCTATTTGTCCAGAAGGAAAATATGGCCAAAATTGTTCGAAAAATTGTACTTGTACAGAAAACTCATTTTGCGATCCTAAACATGGAAAATGCATATGTGATAAAGGGTGGAAAGGTGATAAGTGTAATAAACGAATTTGCCCTGATGGTCTTTTTGGAGAAAAGTGTGACAAAATATGTGAATGTGTTCCTGATAATACTATTTCGTAAGAGCATAATTTTATTTTGATGAATAAAATAAATAAAAATTAAAAATTATTCTCTGGTATAAGTTTTATACTTTCATATTCAAGTTAGAAATGAAAAATTCTCAGATTTTAAAGCATTACCTATAATTATATGTTTTTAGTATCTTATACTGAATAATCCAAATTTTTTAGATTGAAATGAAAATAATATTTATTTTGCTTTTAGATGTCATCCATGGACTGGATTGTGTTCATGTGTAGCTGGTTGGGATGGCCCAACTTGCTCTAGAACATGTTCTTTATACACTTTTGGCGAAGGATGCCGAAGAAAATGTATTTGCAATAATAACGCCCAATGTTTGGCAAATAATGGAACCTGTGTATGTGGTCCTGGTAAGTTCAGTATAAAATATTGTTTAGTACAACTTAACTTCAATTTAAAATTACATTTTTTTATTTATAATTAAAAAGCAATTTAACGCGTAAAAAACTGATTGGCCTAATTGATCTAATTAATTTTAGGTTATCGTGGAATCTCATGTAACGAAACCTGTCCCCAAGGTACGTTTGGGGAGAATTGTTCTAATCATTGTCAGTGTAATAATGGTGCAAAATGTTCCCCGGAAACGGGAATGTGTTTATGCCCAGCCGGATGGAGAGGGCAGCAATGTGATTTACCTTGTGAAAAATCGTTTTACGGTGAAAACTGTAAAAATGAATGCCAATGTAAAAATGATGCGGCATGTAGTCCAATCGATGGTAAATATTAAATATAAAAATTAAAATTTTGATTTTAATAAATTTTTTTATTTACTATAGATAGAGTATATGCTTAATAATAATGTAAATAACAGGGCTTATTCTAAAGCGCAGTTGGGCCTATTTCGCGTATTTGGAAAAGCTAGATGCGCACTTGATAATAAACTTTTGCGTAATTGATTTTTATGATTTATTGTTTTAGGTGATAATAAGATAAGATTGCAAATAATAATAATAATAATGTTATATGATTTTACAATATGAAATTAATTTTATATTTGATATAGTCAATATATATCCTAGTATTTCTAGTAAATTTTATTTATTATTACTTAATTTAAATATATAAAGTATATTTAATATTAGAAGTTGTAAGTAAGAGCCACTCTCTAGAGTTAGGGTTTTCTAAGAATACGTAATATCGAATATCGATAAGGAAAAACAGTTACCTAATTAACCGGTCGCCGCCTCATTTTATAATTTTTAACTATAATTTGACAGTATATATTGAGATCATAATTCTATTTTGATAGGCTTATTTAAAAAAAAATACGTAGTTGATAAAAATCCTTAAAATAAGCCTTGGTAAATCATTTGGTCGCACTCAAATAACTCACACACACACACATGTATATCTATGTATATTATGTAAAATATTCATATTTTTTCAACTTATTTTATTAAGTATTAAACAATAGTCTATATAAATTCTATGAAAAATATTTCATATTTATATTAAAACTATTATTTTTTTTTAATTTCTATAAGGTATTTCTATCAAACTTAGTTAATTACTGAAATTAATGCTTATAACTTAAATTTATTTATTTTTAAGTTTAATTTTACTTAAAACTGTTGTCTAAATTATTGGACAACGCAAAATGGTTCCCGTTTTTGTCTCGTATCTTAAATTTTACTGAATTGAACGTAGTTATATTAAAAAACATGGTATCTTCTAAGTAGACACCCACTTACCTGAATAGTCTACGTATTAACGTATCTGTAGGTGTGTAATGGGTTGGTTTTTAAAATAAATTTGCAAACGATGACACATTATTCGTCAAAAAATGCACTTCTAAATGGAGAACAATATACATTATTCATTGTGTTATATTAATAAATTATAGCTTGCCGAACTAAGCCAAGAATTTTAGGAGTTTTACTTTAGTTTTTGAATGAAGATTACGAGTTATTGATACATAATATTTATTTTTTCATAACGATTTAAATAGTTAAGTCAAGAGGAAATAAGCTTTATGAATTTCGTATAAATATCGATCGAAAATTATATTAGTACTTAAAACAAGATCTGAAAGAAAAAACTAAAAACACAAAGTAATTACAAAGTACCTATGTACGAGTTCATAGATTGTAAAAGTGTATAATTATAGTTATATGAAGTGTGTTATTTTTCTATTTATATATTTGTTCTTTTATAAAATAATTTTAAAACTATACCTACTCTTTTAAGCTATTGAAATATAATGTATGAAGTATCTACTCATAAATTAATGAATAATATCATAATATAAGTATATGACCCTAAATATTGCGATCGACCTAGAAGTATAATACTAACCATCCTGTTGATACGTTTATTAATTGAGCTGTTAAATTATTTATTATTACAGCAACAAATTTGCTCAGCTATTTCCATGATGTAATTTCTCACGCTGAACATATGCTTAATATTATGAATAATGAACATAATAAAAATAGCTAAAATAATTTTGTTTAATATTTCATAGATAAACACATACTTGAATAAATTAAAAAATGTTTTTCAACAACAACATTTTTAATATTTGGCATTATATTAAATCTAATTTTTAATAAAAATAAATTACCGTTTGAATTTTATTTTGGTATTTGTACAAAATAATATAATCTGAATTGTGTGCAATACTATCAATTAAAATGTTTATGGATTGATTTAAATCATTTAATTTATTTACATATGTATTTTTTCGTGTTCTTGAACTCGGCAGTTAGTTCATTATAACAATTTAAGTATATATTACTTTTGTTGAATGAGGTTTTGAAAATGTAAACCATTCATGTTTTGATGGTATTTTAACTATTTTATAATGCGTTCATAATAGCTTGTGCGTTTGTCGTGTGTTTTTCGGATGAATCAAAGTATTCATAAATTATAGTGTTAATAATTTTTAATAAATACTAAACTGTCAATGTATTATGAAAAAGTACTGGCTCTCTCTAAACATTAACTCATTTTTCTTTAACTGGCTACATAATTCACTATATTACATTTTTATATTTTATAAAAATATATTATATGATATAATTGTAAAGGTATCTATATTCTGTTTAACTAATTTAATTACTCCAATTTAAAATGGCATTGTGAAAATATATTAAAATAGAATAATATTACAAACGTACAAACATAGAGTCGGATCATGATTTTTAATAGACCGACGATATTTCAGGTTCTTGTACTTGTCAACCTGGATTTACGGGTGATATGTGTGACGAGTCTTGCAAACCTGGATCGTACGGCAGAAATTGCAGTCAAATTTGCAATTGTGAGTGGAGCAATACGGTATCGTGCGACCCGGTATCCGGTGAATGTAAATGCAAGGAAGGATGGAATGGTAACTATATAATATATAAATGTATAGGTATTTATATATTTATATAACACAAAGTCTTGATTTTTAAAACCTAAATAAATACGAATAACACAATATTAATACACAGCATTTTGCTTAATATTTAATAATATAATTTTACCGCACCTTACAGGTGTGAAATGCGAGACAGTCTGTCTAAATGGGATGTACGGCGACGAATGTCAGGAAGAATGCAATTGTGAGAACGATAGTTCGTGTGACTTAAATACTGCTAAGTGCACGTGTTCCCGTGGATGGGAAGGACCCAAATGCAATGTACCATGCCAACCTGGAACCTATGGTTTCGGTTGCAAAGAAAAATGTCCAGAAAGGCATTCAGACGGTAATAAATATTTTTCTATGTAATATGCATATTACGTAATAATACATATACTCAGAGCCGTAGCAAGGGGGAGGAGGGTAGAGGCTAGCAAAAATGAAAAATTTGCAATTTAATTGTTACTTATAACTTATTGACTTACTTAATATTTATAAGTAAAAGTTATATATATTTATGTATTTATTTATATAACTAATAAATATTATTATGTTATACTTATGTACCTACTTATAATTATTATGTATATATATATATATATATTTTAATAAATAATTTATTTAAATAAAATTAACAAACACTTACATAATTATAAAGAAAAATCATTATTTATAATAAGTTTATAAAAAAATATTCAGTTCTTTTTGAGTCTTTTTTATAAATTAAAATACTTAAGGGCACATTTTGAAGTTCACTATAAATATATTTGGTTGCTATAGCCCTGCATATACTTATGCTTGCTGTGTTTGTATGTATGTTGTTTATGCATATGTAGTGGTGTTTATAAGATATGTAATAGAAGTAGAGATAATAATTCTGGCCCTGTTTTGTGATCCTGGGTATTATAGGTATTATACCTTCCATTATAGAAGGTATACATGCTACACGGGTAGGATATTATATTCAATAATTTAATAGATTTAATATTTAAATAAAAAATATCAAAATCAATAGATTTTTCTTTTTAAAAATTAGCATATTACGTAGAGGAATTCTTTGGCAAAAAATACAATAGCACATGATGAGATGGGTTTATTAATTGTTACCTTTTTCGTTTGATAATAGCCACTGCACAACAGACTATATAGTCAGTGAATACACAGACAAACATAGAAAGTTGTGATCACTGTGTTCATAAATAAAAAAACTAATGTAGCTCTAATTAGTTTGATAAAACTTGTGTTATTAGGAAATATATCAAACATTTATTTTGAATAATTGGGAACAGTTGAATTAATTTTCACTAATGCAATTTTAGGGTTTTTACACAAATTCGGTTATATAGTTAATTTTAATATGACTGACTAGTAGTAATATTTAGTTACAACATAATTATCAAAAGTTGTTTTTACAAACAATACATCATATTGTACAAAAACACATAATTTATTAATTATTAAATAATTTTGTATAACACTAATACACTATTTATTATTTTTAGTTTTCAATATTTTAAATATCTCAAATATTCTAAGAATAATGCAATTTAAACATTAAAATTTTAATTTAAATCTTAAATATTAAAAAAAAAAATTTAAACTCCGATTAATAAATTATATTAGTTATATGTATATAAATATGGTATGTAAAATAAGTTATTTTATCTTATTTATCAACATTTTTTAGTATTTCAATGAAACTAATATGTACTGTTAAAAAATATATATTAAAACTATTTTATACAAAATACTGATATCAGAATTATATACTACTAATAAATGTAATAAAAACCAGTTCTGTGAAAATTGAGTAGGCTTCTGAAATCATGTATTTAACATTTTCTTTGCTCCTCCAACAATATATTGAATGTGGTGAACATAAGTGAATTGGAATATAAAGCAAAATTTATGTAGGTCACTATAAAATTATTGTTACTGTTTTATAGTTTGTAGAAGTTATAAAAGTTATGATATATTATCGAAATTAAATAATATATGTGCACGTGAATAAATTACAAGCATTAAAAATTAAAAATTAATTAGTCTAACATTTTATATAATGCACTTTTAAACAAAATCTCCACTTTATGAAACGTGAATTTTTTGTTCTACTCATTAATATTACATATTTTCAATAAGGTAAATAAAGAGGACATTTTTAATAAATTAGTGTAGGTAGTTGTCTTACTTTATTTTTATTTTATTGTTTATTGAAAAACAAAAACAACCAACTTAAAATGTATAGACATATTATAACACATTTAAATAACCATATTGGGTTTTTTCAGTAAAATGTACAGGAGAAGTGTTTGGGTGATGATATATATTGTATTTCATGTCACACAGAAGTGTTATAAGTTATAATCAATCATGTTTCATTATATTGCAATTTTTAATGGCTGCGTTACTGTGATTTTCTGTATTTGACTTTTTCATGCCAGTCTTTTGTTTTTACAGATAACTTGTCGTGTGACCATGTGACTGGAGAATTCAAATGTCGACCAGGTTATATTGGGCCTATATGTCAACACACTTGCCCAGCTAAGTCTTATGGTGAGGGATGCTTGAAGACATGTGACTGTGGGTATGGTGATTGCCATCATGTCACAGGTAAGTTTTTCTGATCATAGTTTTCCTCATCTTATCGAACCTACTTATATTTTTTATATAATGGGTTGAAGTGGGGGTGTGCACTTAAGTGTAAGTGCATGTAGTTCTCAAAACTAAAATATTGTTCATAACCGTATTTCCTAATGGTACCTACATACTCTGGTCACTTCGTTTATCAACACTGTATATCAATGTCTATCTTTATTTTCATTTTAAAACTTCGACTTAAATTGAAAATTAGAAAAACTTAAAAATTATAATTTTTAAATATTTGGTATATTTAAAAATAAAACCATAAAATATATAAAATTGAAAATTATATTTATTATATGTATGCTATACATACATTATTAATTATAATATCAGACTGAAATTTATATTTTTTGTATTATAATTTATAATACTAATGCATTAAGTAACTTGCAGATTTTACTTGTAAATTCTTAGGTTATACACTGATTAATATATATTATTTATACTTACACTGTACTATCTGTAGTATACACTTTTAGAGTTAAGTGTTATAATAGCAATCTTATTAAGTAACTATACCAAAAAATAATTATAAAAATTAAATATTTGATACTTGATGGATATAATATCTGATGTTTCTGATTGCTATCTGATATCTATATGCTATCTGATAATGATCTTTAATCCCATTACAGTAGATATAAAATTATATTGCATATATTAATAATAATTAAAGATAAAAAAATGTACTGAATTTCAGTTTATTGTACACTAATATATTATATTATTGTATATTTTGTGCAAAACAAATAATATTTTAATAAAAATACTTCAAGTAATAAGGTTTTAAAATTGTAGCTATTTTTTTTTTTTTTATTAATAATAAAAAATTATTCCTTTCATGCTATTACACATAGTTAATGATTTATTCGATAATTTTAGTTCATTTATCATTAATTATTAATCATTATTGGTTATATCTTTATATCACTCTATTTAGGTGTGTGCCACTGTTATCCTGGTTGGACAGGCTCCAACTGTACTCAAACATGTCCAGCCGGTTCGTACGGTATAAATTGTGGACTCCGATGCAAATGTCAGAACGGCGGTACATGTCGGCCTATGGATGGCATGTGCCATTGTGAGCGGGGATTCACCGGCCCTACTTGTAATGAAGGTATTATAGATGAAGAAAACTTATAATTATTATTTACTGCCAATTTTCTTCTACACCTTTGTATAACTATTGACAGTCAAATATTTTTCTTATCACAGTGTGCCCTGATCAATACTATGGAGAACACTGCATGAAAATATGCAACTGTCCCAGTGATAAATTCATTTGTCATGCCATCAATGGTTGTGTGTGCAGACAAGGATACACAGGTACCCATTTAAGCAGTCATCCTAACTCTGTTTTCTCTGGTTGTTATTTGTCACCAAAAATTATAGTTTCCATGTTTTATATATTTTCATTAAATTATATCCAATGAAGAAACACAAATTTTAATGTGGTCATCTTGTTATTGACAGTTTTTTTAATTTTGGAAGCATGTCTTATAAGCATGTTCATATATAATTTGTGTCTGTAATAATATTATATTTTCTTTCCAACTAAATTAAATTATTATTTTGTTCTTCCTTACATTAAGTGATATAATACTAAATTCATACTTTTAAATTATGTTGCATTAAGTTAAAGAGCTTAACTATTACAACAACTAACACATTAATAAATATTCAATTTATTATTCTGAGTTTTATAAATGTTACTCATAATAAATCTGCACGAGATATAGGTACATACATTATAATGTAAAATTATAAAAATTTTAAAATGTCTTTCAATATCTTTTGGAAGTTGAATAATTTGATTCTTAAAATAATATTGAGTATACACTAGTATATTTTCAATTATTGTTTAATATAAATGCGTATTAATAACCCGATTGATAATTTAGGTGACAACTGTGATGAACCATTATCTGATCGAAGAGTTGGTTCTGCAGATACTGAAAAGAGTTCTTCAGGAACGTTTGCTGGAATGTTTGTTACTATCATATTATTATCAGCAATAATAATGTTGTTCTTGTACTACCGTAAACGTGTTGCTACTTTAAAGACTGTTATTGCACATGTTCAATATGGAGCTGATCCGCTGAGCTTAGATCAAGGTAAATTATTGATTATTTTGAAAATATTCTCAGTACATTTTTAATAAATAAAAATGATATTTCTTCTTTACCAATGGCGTTGCTACCCCTCTGTAGACCTGGGACAGAAATAATTTGAGAGGTTCCCCAAACAACGATAAATCATAAGAAAACTATTTTAAAAATAAAATCAGGGGTGAAATTTATTTAGTTATTTAAAAAAAAATTATAAGCCACAAAACTTCAGCGAATTCTTTTATAATTGCATCAAAATTCACCTTGTCTGCTACTTCCTTTTCACTGATGAATAGTCAAGTAGTTAATCCTTCCTTGGCCTATTGTTGATCTTAAATTTTTTTTTATCAACTTGAGCTTTAAAAAGCTTTTTTCATTAGAAGCCACCAAAACACACTATAAAAAAAAATGTAGAACAATATAAGTTATGAGCTAAATTTACAAATATCATTGTAGTTGAACAACTATCAACCAATATTGGATTTATTTTTATAATTCGTACTGTTATCTTGATCGTTAGTAATTATCAAAATATTATTAGCAATACTATTTTCTGTGGAATACCAGTATCATTTTTATATTTTTTACAATATTCATAGGACCTCCCGACCAAAAAAAAAGTCCTTGAGACTCTCATGAGTATGAGGACCTTCTGGTTTTTTACTCTAATAATCAATCAATATTCTTAATAAATTATACCTGCTATATCATTGTAATATATTTAACAACTTTAACATATTATTTCAGATCGATTCCATTTCGACAATCCTGTTTATTCCTTTGGACAGAATAATTCCTCAATAGGAACAGTTGAAGAACAACAAACATTAAATAATTATCAAATAAAAAATAACTTGAATAAATCTAATAATTTAATGAAAGCTAGTTGCTCGTCATCAGTAATGAACAACAGTGATATTTATGGTGAGCCGTCTTCCAGCATGTCATCTTTGAAAAATAGAGAGGCTGATCTAAACAACCCCAATATTTATCATAGTTTGGACGACATTAAATCAGAGAATCTCTATGATGAAATTGAAGACAAAAAATTAGCAGCAGCAGGTAATACTTGGTTTAATATTATAATGTATATTCTATAAGTATTGAAATAAAATTAGTAAAACTAATATGCCAAAACAATATTCTATTACAAATTTTTAAGAACTCTGGTTAAGAGGATATTAGTTCAAAATCTATTGTCTTTGTCTATCGAAACCCATTTATTACAATTTAAAGAAAGTAAAAATGTTGACATAATTTTATATTGTTTAAAGAATATCAATTGATAAAGAAGTTACAGAAATGTCAGTTGTAAATTTTTCTTAAAAGTTGCAATTTTGTCAATCTAATATAAAAATTATATTCTACAAAAAGATATACCATTCTCTAGAAATTATTTCCCTTTACATTTGTATGATATAATTTTAATTTCACAATCTAAATAAATTCCATAATTGAATGTATTGTACATGATATAGACAAAAACAGCTAAATATGAACTAACATTTTTCTAATATAATATGTAGTGTACAATATTTGTATTATAATATATTTTGTTTTTTTTCATTAAAATTCAAAGTAAAAATTGATGTAAACTATGAATATTTTAACATTAAACTTATTTTTTATACCAATAGAACAAGATTATGATCATCTGGACTATCAGAGACCTAATGGTACATGGAAACCTCATTATCAACGTATGTCAGGGAATTTAAAAGCTGATAGTAAGAAGAACATAAACATAGATTGAAACATAAAGAACTAAAATTAATCTTGCCAAATTGTTCAAGAAGTCATAGGTTATTGTCCTTTTTAAAGTTTTTAGACAATACTAGTTGTCTTTAATTTATTATTATCCTTTATTTCTTTTTTGATAAATTTATATACGTTTTATTAAAATACCTAGTAATAATAAATATATTATGTATACTTGTGTGCTAGATATTATTTCTACTAAATTCATAAATTTTATTATTGAGGTACTCTGTGATATTTTATTATTGTATAGATTATAAAAATGATTTACTATAATTAATAATATTACATAGTCCATTATTGATTGGTTTCCAAAAAAATTTGTCTTTATGACTGAGAAGACATTCAAAAATAAATTTAACAAAAGAACAGTTAGATATAGAAGTTTTATATAATTAATTTTTTTTACAAATAAAATAATATTATGCTATTTTGTAAAATCTAATTTTCAATTATTTTTAACTGTATTGATTATTGTGTTTAATTACTGTAAAACTACAAACAACATATATTTTGTACTTTTTTTAGAATGATATTAACTAAACATTGAAATGTATTCAATTTTTTATTTTTAATTGTAATAACTAATAAATATTAGATTAATGAGGTTATGAATTTACAGCATACTATTTTATATTTTGTTCTGTTAATTAAACTTATGTTTAATATTATTATTGTATATATTATACATATATATTTGATGAATAAATTATGCATTTAATTTTGACATTTAAGTTAGATAGTATTATTTTTTTTTATATTGAAAATTATTTTACAATTGTTATAATACTTATTAATATTTTTAACATAAGAACATTAAATATCCAACATATCTTTTGAAGGAGTTAATTTATTCGTTTTAACGATTTATAAAAAAGGATGGATTCAAGCTGAATTGTTTTTAGAATTTTTTAAAATATAATTTTATACGATGCTAAGAAATAATATTTTTGTTTAACATATTATATAAAAATTTAAGGATTGATATTTTCCTATGTTTTAAGAAATTTATGACCCTAACCTTGACAAAAACAAATTTCCAATAATTTTGCATAAATAAAGATAAAAATCTAAATTATGATTAATAAGACAATATTTTTTTTGTGATTAAATTACTTTTTCTGGTTATAGTAACAATACAAATAATATGTAAATAGGTTCAAAATCGTTTTGCATGTAAATAAACATTAAACATTTTATAAATCATAAAATATATATTATTATCTTATGTACCACGACACGTGGTGCATTTTTTATCACTTTTACTGTTATATAAAAATTTCTAAAAGTATCATCAACGGTAACCTGTTAAATATAAATTATTTAGCTGTGCTCACTTGAATTTCATCTAAAAATGTATTGCCATACTTTAAACCTTCAAATTAATATTTCGTTTGGCTTTTATCGAAATCGCCTGTACAAGGAATCCTCCTAACAAAATGTTTCGGTTACATTACTTCGACAAGATAAAAAGATAAAAAGTACGAATAAAAAAAATATTGTCAGCTGCACTCGACTTAATAATGTAGTGAAAATTGGATTCTAATTGAATTTTAATTGTATTTCGTTTAAAACATCTATATATTAATGTATTAATAAATATATATTATATATTTCAAATAAAAATATGATTATTATTAACTCATAATAATAATTATGATTAATTTAATTATTAGTATACTTAAATTTGCCATCCATTCACATGTCAACTACAAACGTTTTCATCCTTTCAAACGGTTAATGAATAGCGAAAATATTTGTGACGTTGAAATAAAATGCCATACAAATTAGATGTAATGTGGATTGTGTAATGGGATAATATTACAATGTAACTGATATAACGGCAAGTACAACGTTATGTTGATTCGCGAATGCTACTAAACTTGATATATTCAACAATTCATGATCACATTCATACTGGCATACATTTCATTAAAATATTTCGAAACTATGAATGGTCTTTAACCGATTTACGAATTAAATGAAAATTTATTGAAATTTTTGATTCCGTCAAGATTTCGTTTTGTAACGCCTATGAAACATTTTTGCGACTTTCAAGTAAGTTTTTCTTTTGGCTACTTTTGTTGAGCTACGTCTAAAATTGGTACGCCATAATTGTTGTATGTATTTCATATACTTTCGTTAGTTTATCACTAGGGAACGGATTTATATGTAATAAAAAATACAGAAATATGTACATATATATGTAAGTATAATTTATAAAATATGTGCTAAAAACATCCAAATATGTGGGGAAAAAAAATTTATAAATTATCACAATTATTGGGAAAACATGTGAAACATTTCTAAAATGATTTATTTTCAAACTACAGACATATCTTACGGTTGTAACGATCAGATCAATACTTTTAGTCAAAAGCGCGTACAAAGATAGAAAAAAAAAAGACACACACATACATCACAGTAAAACCGGAATGCAAAATGTATCGTATCCGTAGCCTTGATGACGACTTGAATATTCCACAGCGACGGTCGACGAAAATAATCGAAAAATAGTGTTATAAAATATAATTACGAGCTTTCGAAAGGCTGCGGGTGACAAAGGTACGTGGAAAATAATTTGTTTCGAACGAACATAAAATGCTGAAAACGCCGAAGGGAGCGTACCAGATTCCCTCCAGATTCATGTGTATGTGTATTACAAACGCTTGTGACGGAATCTGACCCGGGGATGTTTTTACAATGAGGGTCGCGAGCGTGTACAAAAGCGGATCGAAGGGGAGAAAAGAGCCCTCGAAGCAGCACGTTCAATGACGACGCATATAGGAACAACGTTCCGAGCGTTGCGCCAAGTCTCCGACCGCGGTAAGTGAACTTTTATCGCCACCGAGGGCGACGGGTAACGCAGAAACGACAGCTTCGAGAAAATTATTAAAATATTTACGCGTTTCGTTTGGGCCCGTACAGCAGAAATGGAATAATTTAGATGTTATTTTATTTTTTTTTTTTTTGTGTAACGCTTTGTTAACGAGAACAAAACATGTTTGAGAATCATAAAACAAAAAACTAATACCTAGTCATGTTACACGTTTAAATACAACTGTACAACGTTTGTAAAATATTTTTCGTGTATTCAAAACTTTAGATCAAATGCATTCATCAAACTACTGTTACATTTGGTTCATTACTTAAAATAGTTGCGAAATGTTGTTAATACGTGTTCCTATACGGAAAATCTGAATCACTAACACCTAATTACAGGTAAAAACGACTATGATATTATATATATTATAGGTTCAGATTCAAATGATAATTTTTACTTTTATATCTAGATACTATAATATATATTTTAATTTTTTTGTTTTAAATGCATAAAAAATAGTATATTTCATAATTGTTTTAAACAAGTGTTATTATTATTTTATAAACACTACTTTAAAAAAAATAGATTTAGTATGCATTATTATATTTTCTTATTTGAATTGTCACGAAAATATATAACAAATAAGAAAAAAAAACAATTGGTACAAACATTCTTAAAATCATCTAGGCATTGCAAGTTCAAAACAAATTATTTAACTGTCAATAAAATTCAATAAGAACGTGGAATTTTCAGATATAAGAAGAAGTATCTTATAATATACAATAATAATATACAATATATATACAATAATATGTATATCTTAGAAAAATGTATGATGAAGTCGTACGTATTTTTAAAACAATAATCGAACATCGGGAAATACGTAAACTTCTGCTTATTGGTCTTACCAAAACTCGTGTTATAAAATAAAAAACTAATAGAAAATCAATGCCAAAAAAATCAAAGCTAGATGTAATTTATTTGTTTAGAGAGGTATATTGTTCATCTTAAATAACAATCAGGTACCTAATATCTAATTTATATATATATATTATATATATTATTTATATATATAAGATAAAGATGCAGTAGTTTTATCTAGATAAACTATTTAGATATTGCTTAACATTGGTTGTATTTAATTTACGATCATACAATATATACCCCATAATCAATGTGTCCAAGAGCTATTAACGGACAATATACTACTATATACTTACCTACTTATTTTCTAGTAGTTGGATGATAATTGAATTAAGATTTCTAACATGCTAAAAATATGCCACAAATCTAGATGGTTTATCCTAGCTGTAAGCTCAATTCCGCGCCGAGAGCGTTCGCTCAAAACTCGTTTAACAAAATGTTAAACCGAAATCGTTTTTACATTGTACATTATTTAATTATTCAATGTAAGTTATGTCCGACTGAAAGACGAAAATAACATAAAACTGCGGTACACGAATAAGCAATAAACGCGTGATGGTTCTTCAATAAATTTGACCGGTTATTTTATCGACGTTTTATTTAAGTACGTAGTTTTCGTTCGATTTCTCGAAACCGCAACATCAAGGCTCGGCCATTATTATATACCATTACCTAGTACAGGTCGCTTAGGAAATTCGATCAGGACGTGCTGCGTGTATATTATATTTGCGAGTATACTGATTATTAACTATACAAAACCACAACGAAACTACGAGTATGCGATCAAGGGCGCCCATATGGGAGGAAAAGAGTGGGACATGTCCCTCCCCCCTGGAAAATGTAAAAAATCTTGGAAAATTGTTTACTATGATCAGAAAATATTTATTTAAATAGAATTTAAAAATTTAGTTTAATGTATGAAAATCTATAATTTATTTATGAAAAATCCATTTATTTAGTTTGGAAAATCAGGTTATCAGCTATAAATAACAATACGCTTTTTCGTTTCTATTCTATGGATAGTTATCAATTCTTAAAATATTGTGCATTTCCAGAAATACGGTATGTATATGTGTGTGTGTACACAACCATAATATTTATATAATATTTGTAAATTAATATTTTAATAAATATAACTACTGTTTTAAGTGTCCAATTTATATTATTAATTAAATAAAAATTTCAATAAATTACTTTTATGGTAAATTGGTTAAATAATTATTATTTTATAGTCTTTCAGTTTGATGTATATAATGTAAAATTGTAAATTCCTTCCTATATCGTGGGTCGTTCCTATTTATGAATAGATTGATAAATTAAAATCTTGTCCCTCCCTTGAGAATTTTCCTATGGGCGCCCTTGTATGTGATTAAAATAGGATAAACGGATTCACGTGTTTTTCAGATACGTGTATAACGGTTATGATAGTACATCGATTGTGATATAATTGTTTAGGATTTAGACGATAAGTACACAGGTTTGGCTATTGGTT